AACGCAGACTAAACGTAGACGCAACGCAGCGACTCAAATAAAAGAAATTTTATTGATATCTTGATAAAAGAAAAAAAAGTACCTCGCGTCGACATCCGCCACCCGGTTGGTATTATTGCCGTATGTCCACTGTCCAGTGCTCGTATACTAGACGAAGATGTAACAGCAAAGCACAGACGAAACTCAGGGTCTTAGAGATCAGACTGGATTTCTTCCTCTGTCGAACTGGTATCCCTGTCGCATGTTCTTCTTGAAAGTAAAGTTTTTAGTTATCCTCAGCTATCTGGAACTCGCGATGTCACAATGAGACTAAATGGTTTCGTAAAAGGGCATTCTTTCAGAGAGTCCACATAGCTGACAATATTTATTGATAATCTTAACTCTAAAACGATACAAATTGAATCCTTAAAACTTCTTCTAATGTTAACTACACAATCATAGACCTATGAGTTTCTTAAGGCTTTATAAAACCGTTTAGCTTGTGCCAAACGCAGGGTCTTAGAGGCCAAACTGGATTTAGAAAAATGAATCCATTCGGAGAGTCCACACATGTTGACAATGCTTATAGGTACATTTTTTACTAATGTTAAAGCAATCCACTGAGACCTATTAGTGAACAGAAGAATTCACTGTAGAATACAAAGCCTTGTGGCATTTTAGACCCACCTACCGCCGACAGCTCAGTACCATCCTCTGTCCAATAAGTGATTAAAAACACACAGTCCTCCGACAATTACTGCCTCAATCTCGCCATATCTTTAACTCATTTAGATCAACTTTAATGCCTCGTCGATTTCACTGTTTTAATACGCAAGTGGTCTTGTTATTAGCTTTAGATACCTGCCAGCTTGCAATGGAATCGGTTACAAACGTTTATATCTTTTATAAGTGTTAAATAGCAAATAATTTAGTGCTGTTTATTTATATTGGATTATAAGGAAAGTTTTAAAAATTAACGTTAAGTGTTTGGAGCGTTATTTTAAAAAATGACGTTATATATATTTTGACGTTTCTGTGACGGTATATAAAAATTAACGTTATTATTATGTGACCGGAATGTTATTATTAAAGATATGACGTTATATGATATATATTAATTATGCATCTATGTTTTGAAGTCTCTGAAACGTTTATTAACAAATAACGTTAAAATTTTATGTGCCCGGTGCGTTATTGAAGAAATTTAAAACATTGTAGAAGTTAAATTCAAGTGTCTTGAATCCTATAAAAAAAAATGACGCTACATATTTAACTATTGAAGTTTCTGGAACGTTTTAAAAAATGTAACGTTAGGCCTATATGTTTATGTAGGCCTACTGAAGTGTCCGCAACGTGATTTTATATTAATATAATTATGTTAACGTTATTATTAACAATATTGGTAATTTTGAAAGAGAATTTTCTCAGTCACCATCAATGTTACATTACTCAGGATTGAGGATTGGGGATTTTTATTAAAAATTCAAATTGATAATTAACTAATATCAACAAAACTGCTGATGCGCGGTGGAGAATTAGAGTGTAACTTCGGATTTGAAAATTTCTGTCTCTTAGAAAGAATATCATCTCATTATGTTTCTACAAGACGAAGAACAAAGCCCGTGTGATTCCAGATTTTAAGCCACATTTAATTGATTTGAGAGACAAATTTCCCATCAATTCGCTCAATATTTGGTGATACTTGACTGAGTTTACTCGTAGGTTAATAGCAGACTGAAAACGACTATTAAATCTAATTGCTTGGAAAGATTCTGTGGTACGGGAGACACCCTGAACGCCTATTAATAATTTCGTCTTTTGTTTAAAGGCCTGGAAAATTTCTTGTGGAACATTTGCGCGTCTGGAAGTCAGAAGGTTTATTGTTTAATAAAAGGTGAATTACTACCATTAGACTCGATCGTCACGACATTAGAACATCCATTATTCTTGGATTTTACAGCTCCACTAAACTTTGGTATCAAAAGCTAGAAATCGGACACAATTGTTTTGGATAATGCACGATCTGGTTTTTACAGAGATGTTTGAATAAGGATTTTATCGGTTTTTAAGATAAAGTGCCACAGTGCTAGTTCAGTGTCGATATTTTTTATGTTGGACACAGAGTGTGTATATAACTTACAGACTTCTCAAAGTTTGGTGCCAAAAAGTTCGAATTTTTACTCAGCGTTTATAAAAGTATTATATATTGGATATGGCTGAAGGCTGGTGAATATTGTTCGGAAGTTTTAAAACTTTTAAAAGTTTTCTTATTCAAGATCTATGGATAGTAAATCTGGATATGTGACCGTTTGTGAAGTTCAGCCAGTGAATCATTTCATTTGTATTTCATATTTTTTAACATTTCAGACAGACATTTTTCTGAAAACAAAAAAAAAGTTGGTCATGTCTGGATCAAGTCTAATGAGCCGTTGACAAATTCTCAATAAACAGTTAATTAATATTTCATCATATACATTGACTCTGATAAAAATAAACATTGTGACTTAGACAAGTCTTTTGATTGAGATTATCATTGAATTCAGCTGAATACGGAACCAGACGAGGTCATAAATAGACCAGACGATCATATAACTCGGAGGATCAAGAATGTTTTGCACCATGGATAACCAACCTGGTCTTCCGGTTGGAAACTTTCCCATCGTGTTCACCCCCACGGCGATATACACCACCCCGAGGACCTGGCATCCACATATTTACGAAAATTCCACCAAAAGAATCACTCCTTTCCGGATAGTGGACATTCTAGGAATTTCCGAAGAAAGGAAACGAGAACGAGAAAGATCCACGAGCTTGTCTGGACACCTTTCCAATGGGTCCTTCACCTGTTTTTCGCCAGATAATCGAATGGATGAAGATCGATCCAGACAAAATTCCGACAGTCCTGGCTCCGATTCTATCATAGGTGAGCATATTTTGCTTTTTTCAGCCGGAATTCTTTGACGATATACAGCGTTTTTATCCTTTTTCCTGATATAATATATTTTTTTCTATTCATTATATCTTTTTATTTTGCTTTAAATATACATTTTATATTAATGTTAATTAAGGAAGTTGATTTGTGTCATTCGTAGACCTGTATACATGAAATTTATGCTGAATTTTGAAGATTAGAGCAAATGATAGTTTTCTATTTTATTTGAGAAAAGTTTATCTTGTGATATTTTCTCTGAAAACTTGCAATTAGTTAGTTAAATCTATTTACAAATAAAACTTCAATATACTCCATGTAATATGCTAATTAGCGAGGCTCATTTGCATAATTAATCTCTGTAAATCTGTATAAATACATTTTAAGTAAACTTTGTTAAAACTCGAATTGATGTTTAAAAATCAAAGAAATTGTAATGAAGACTTTTCTTTCATATATTTCTGTATAAATATGCAAATGATTTGAATTTATTTGCATAATTAATAACGATTATTAAGTGTTAAAAATGAAAAATATTTTTACAATCAACTTTAAATTGGTATTTAAAAATCGATATTCAAAATCAATGAATAATAAATTGAAAATTATCGTCGACAAAAAACAGGTAAATATTTATTTATTATGAGGCAGTGATATTAAAGGAAAGGTCCAAATTTAAGTCGATATTTTTAATAGAGGCGAAGGTACAGAAATTTCTGTATCAATAACTTTGTACTCCTTCGAAACCTAGCATGAAACATTGGTCAATAATAATATCCATAAAAACATCTTTAATAAAAAACTTAAACGATAGAAAATTTCTGAACTTTTGATATTTTCACCGAAAAGACTATTTTACTGTTGTGTCCTCAGAGCATGACTTGTTCTGTTGGGATATTATATTTTTCATGTTCTAGAAGGACCAATTAAACAAAAAATAAATTTGAATGCTTTTTACGATAGTGACGTCACAATCTATTTTTATGGAAAACTAAATGATGCAAAAAGAAGCTATTTCTTAAAACCTTTTATTGCATGACGCTATCCAAATTTTCCTGATACACCTAACATGCCTTAAAAACTCTTTCATATCGCTTTAAAATAAAAAAGTATTTCTATTTTATGAATTGAGTACCATTTATAATTTTCATCTCATGTGTTAGATAAGAAATAAAAAATCACAACCCAAATCGTGTTGCTTTGCTTCCTTCATTGCTCTTCAATGCCAAGTAGACAATGACAATTTTTAATTTGTCTTTATTCTTTATTCTCTTGAATAAATAAATAAAAAAATCGTTAAATTTATGATGAAGTCGGTGATTTGATTAATAGAAAGCAAAATGATTTTTAATTGATTGTGTTTAAAGCGACGGTATGTCAGAATATTTCAATATCGCATCACGCTTTATTATATGCCTTATACTTACTGTAAAGATCAAGTATCTTTTCATTTGCATTAGAAACTCTACCGCTCTACAATGTACAGCGACGTGGACAAGATTTTCACAAATGAATGAAATGTGTAAAGATTTTGTACTAATTTGAATAATGACATATCGTGAGTTTAATTGATTATATAATTATATTAAACATAGCGAGCATGTTCTAAGGTACAAAATAATTATTTTTTACTTAATGCAGTTTAATAGTTTATATTGTTCTTTAACAAGTCTACTTATTTTCCATTGTTTAAATATTCCTGGCATTTTCTAAGAATTTACAGGAATCTTGGCATGAAATGAGCAGAAGGAGGAGCAGTTTTCTGCCTTTTTTTACTAATTCATTAAAAATAAATATTATTAAATAATTTGTAATTTATATACAATTCTTTTAATGATTTATAGTATGTAATAACTGAAAAATATCGCTAATAACCAGAAAAAATACTTTGCCTGTATACTTTGCTGAAATATGCTTTAAGTTTAACTGAAATTTTAATTTTAATGAAAGTTTGTAATCAGGGAGTGCTTCGTCATACATGATTTATGTTTCTATATATTTTTCAGATGTGGAATCGAATAAAGGCGAGAAAAGAAAATCCGACGAATTAAAAGATGATTCTACCGCCAGTTCTACAGACGACAGTCAAAAGAAGAAAAAGGCGCGAACAACGTTCACTGGACGTCAAATATTTGAACTTGAAAAACAATTTGAACAGAAGAAATATCTGTCGTCTGCCGAGCGAGCTGATATGGCCAATTTACTCAATGTCACAGAAACACAGGTACTGTTTCAAAAATTAATATTTGGGTCAAATTTAATATCGCACGTCCATAATATCCAAAAGAATATGTATGATAGTTGTCTAATCAGCCTACTTCCTGTGAAGTGCACGTGTACTACACCCTATTATATCAGTTTTAAATAATCGTTATATTATCTAACATATTAGCAAGCAAAACACTATTTAAATACATGCTACTTTAGTATGATTTGACATGAACTCCGGGAACCTTTTCTGCAATGAGTATTCATATGAACTAATGACATATTCTATACTATTAAATTCCTCAACCGTTTTAAAGAAGACTTTCCCTTATTTGGCCCTTGATTATAAAAGGCTATATAAACCCTTATAAATCGGTTTTCATCGTCTCGTTAACTAACACTTGCCTTAAGTTCGGTTGCGAAATGCGCGTGCATTTCATCTCAACTATCATCACGCTCATTAACATGCACTTGTGTTGTAAAATCATTTAAAATGTAATAGTTTATTTAGCACTTGTATAAAGTTTGTGATTTCACAGACGCCCCCTGGTGTTTATTTACACGATTCACGTGTTGTAAACATAATAAACTAGAACCAAGGGAGACAATCTGACATGTTAAAAGTCTTGTGTTAACATATGGAGTGTAATTAAAATCTCGGTGATATTTAATTAATTATACCCCGTACCTGGCTTTATCATTAGACAATATCAAACTGGTAGATATAGGTGGTATAAATACAGATTGGTGTGGGACAATTACATATTTAACACCCTTTCCCTTGGGACTCAGACATTTTACATTTAATTTGGAATATTCGCTGTTGTGGTTGTTTTCCAATGAATAAAATTTCGGCAATGAAGACTGTCAAACATTGGTTATATTTAATGCATAGCAAACAAATTGTAGCTGTGCTTCAAAACTTTAACGGATATGTTTTCGTGGACAAATGCAGTTTCAATTAATTTTGGCATTTTCTTATTACTTATGTCCTCAATGGGAAGAATTTTACGATATTGTGCTATAAGCTTATATTCATAATATGATTCAAATCATATGGAATACATTATTTATATTTTTCTGTAAAGTTCACAGGTATGATTAAAAATATATCTTGCCTCAAGTAAAAAAGTTTCGTAGATTTAGTCAGCGCCGTTTTATTAACTGTTAATTAAAAATTTAAACTTAGATAAATAAGGAACAATTAAGATATCTAACCCCTACCACCCTGTCTTTATTTCTGTGATATAATATTTGATTAATGTTATGTTATAAATAAGTATTATTGTTATATATTTCAATATTATTCTACACTTAAACAGTATTTATATAACACACGATTGGCGAGATCTGGATTCAGTCTGCTATAGAAAATATCTGGACAGACGGCAATGGCGATTTAACAGATCTGCACCGAATTGGTCTTTAAAGGCATAGTTTGGGTTCCGCAAAATTTTTAATTAGTCTGAAATAAATAAATATGCCCTGTTAGACAAGACCATGTCATCTTGGTGTATTCTGTCTTATTCTGATCCATGTGAAATGAAGATTTTATTATTATTGAATGTAAAATGGTTACAACCTTAATTCGGTCACACTTTCCCGGAGTTAACCTTAATAATCATTTTGAAAACCTAGGTCGGTCTACTTTAATTTTATAATTCACCAGTCGATCTGAATATTCCGATAATAACTCTTTACTCCATTTAATTAGTTTCCCTAATTTGTTCAAACGTTGAAGTCAAATAATGGAATTTAAACCCAATTTCTAATGCAGGGGGCATGATGAGGATTCATACCCGAAACATAGGCCTATCATCGATTTAAGATGAGCTTTTGTGATTAAATATCTAAAAAAATATTGTCAAGGGGCGAGAAAAATTCAAGAAACTCAAAATTTGGTTATAAAAATTTTAAAAACCCAAACTGCTACTTGAATATAAGAAAGTAATTAAGGAAGGTGATGATAGTTAAAGTGTTAATTTGTAGAATATTATTAACCATATATTCTTATATCTTACTGTATGCCACTCGTGTTTTTATTTTAATTTACATGTTTGCCTTCAACATTTTTCATCATTCTGTGTTGCATCAATGATTAATTCCCCCATTAAAAAGAAGTTTATTTTGACCAGAATTAAGATAACTTTCTAAATAAACGATTAGGCACGTTTATGTTCTTGTAGTTGCACACTTTAAGTGTATTTATTCGACGTTACATTGTGAGATTTTGTGGCTATAATGTTTCATTAAAATTTGAACGCAGAATTCAACATTCGCCTCAACTTGAAATATGAAGATGAATAGAGACAAATTGAAAAAACTTTCTAATAAAACAGAATGGTGGATAAGAGAGAACATCTTCAAAATGAAAGATCGATCTTATAGAATTTAGCGCTGCGTGGACTCTCTGAAAGGATACCAGGTTTACAAACATAATCCCAGTGCGTTACCATGTAGTTTGTCTGTCATGTTTTTCCTTTCCATTCCAGGTGAAGATTTGGTTTCAAAACAGACGAACAAAATGGAAGAAACACGAAAATATTTCATCTTCAGAAGTCGCTCAACACAAACTGAACTCTGAGAAATCTCTGCTCAAAGCCATGAGAAATAAGAAAAATGGCGAGATTTCAAGAGAATCTGAACCGGAAGTAAACAAATCGACTGATTCAACCAGTCAAACAAGCCTAAACCCAACAGTCAGTGACGTCATGAAACAGGAAGTGGAAGTCATCAGTTCTCACGAGAACGTGAGTGATTCTAATCACGAGATGTTGCGAGAAAGAGTGGTTGAAGTAATTCAGGAAATGCCACGAGAAAAACTTCCAGAGGTTCTCAATTTATCAACATCAGTCACTTGTGTCGTCAAAGAATTAGACAATTGTTCCGTACAAATTAATCCTTCTAAAAACTCCGAAATTCAGGAAGAAAGGCGAAAATCACCGACGATAGAAAATGACAACATTAATAATTCGTTTCGTTTTGTTGCTGAGAAACAAATTGAACGAGATTGTCACTGACACACTAAAATATCGGAATGAACAAATACCGGAACGAAATTTAATAACTTTATCAAACAAAACGAAATGATTTTCTGCGAGAGATTAATAATAAGACAACAAACGAGGAAGAAAAATGTCCAAGATTTTGTGCTTAAACGATTTTGTTTCACAATGTTATAAAAAGATGGCGACAAATTGCTCGACTGTTGTAAGTTTTCAGTATGTGAGTAATGTAATTTAAAAACTTTGCTTGCTTTTTTGCCTGTCATCAATTTGATTATCCGCTTAGTGTGTTTCGTGAATCAAACATGTTTTATATATTGTGTATAGCTTGTAGTGGCGTGATTGATGCAGATATGGCAAGTGGCATTGGCTGACTTCACCAGAGGAGAGAATGGAAAACAGAAACAAGTACCCACGTTGTGTAGCTCTATATTGGTGTATCTGAATCCATTATAGCATTGGCGGAATAGAAACTAATATGGCAACCCCCAATGAAATTCTCCCTAGCGTTCTGCAACATTCTCAGTTAAACAGAAACTCCCGAGAACGGCTCAAACACATGGATAACAGAAGGGGAGAATTATTCAACAGACCCTCCACCTCCACGCCGCCCCCTCTCACCCCCCATCCTTCACAGCCCGTATCCTACACCAATGTTGCTAATGAAGTGTAAATGATATAAATGTATCTAATGTTAATTTATCTCTATAACTATATTTCCTGTGTTATATTATTGAAATACAATCTTCTCAAAACAATCCGACTTTTCTCTTCTGTTTATTTCATTGTTATTTTATAGCTGGTGGGAAATTGATAGGGTTGTTAATAGTATGATACCAAATATGGTCAAAAGAGGGTTGCACAGTCAAAACAACCCATGTCAAAACAGTAGAGGCCCATAGAAAAGGCCGACCCCTTCGAATCTAGGCAAGACGTTCGCCGTAGTTTCAGAGGCTGTCTGCAAGAGACTCCAAGAGTAGTGTAGATGCATCGAAAACTCTTGGCCCAGACAGTGGACTTTATAGCACTTTAGCATAGGCAGCTAGATTAAAAAGAAGAGGGGGGGGGGGGGGGGGGGTCCAATACTTGAGTCGAGAAGCCAATCAAGGTATACATCACATAACAGCCAGTGTCGTGCTCTTAAAGCAGGATGTCTTTGCTCTATTCGAAGCATGAGAACCTGTGCAGACATCAAGTAGACTGAAACTTGGACTCGGTGGGAGCGAGGGTATTCTGTAACAGTACACCAAACGACCACGAATTTTTTCAGACGGGTACATTTTTCTCTTATTTTTCCCAAACATAATCACCATTAATCACCAGATAATGTCAATAATATTTTGTCGTTTTGTTTTGATACAGAATGTTTTCAGACCACCATCATTTTGTGTAGGTGTTGATGATATTTATGTGAAAAATTCAGTATAATCTAGATACTTATCATTTAGGTCTGTTTTACAATAAAATCATTTTAGTGTTTCAGTCATCTCATTAGGGTCGATATGACAAACTTGAATACCAATTTACATCGTCAGCAATGTGTACTCTCTGGTAGGAGTTGACGAACCTTATCGCAAAATTGCACCAGCTGTTCGAGAAGGGTTCCTTAACGGCACCAATCACAGACTGCTGCGAGAATTCAAATGTAATCCGAATACATTCAGGTTCAATGACCAGAGACATTGCATAGTCTTTGCTAGAACCGTTGCTAGACTGGTTACCAAGGTGAAAACTGAGATATCGTCAGCCCAACGAAAGGTGAATCCATCCACATCTGATAGGGTTTCAACGCACCGCTAGCACTCAGATAGTGACCCTATATTGAAGTCCCTAGGACTCGTGACTAAGGTCAAAACCAAGAACGTACAAGGTACCAAAAGGTTCTCCCTTTGTTAAGATTTCTGCTAAAAGTCTCTTTAACGTTTGGTTCTCTCCAACCCGGAAGTGCAGCTTTCTGTAAAGTTCAAAGGACATGCACACAACAAGGTTTCAGTGCTAATCGATCAAAGTTTACAGAATTCGACATTTACATCTAAATCGAAGCACTCTTTCACCGAAATCCACTCAATAAATTGAAAAGGCTGGAATATTAGTCTACAATAGACAAGATAAACAAGTCTAATTAAATTAATAAACAATAACAGTCATTTTGATCGAGACTAGGGGTTAAATTGGCAAGTGAAAGAAAATGAAAGTAGTGTCTATTCTTTAGACAGTTAGTTGTAGTGGCCGACTGTTTGTCGAGTAAACGAAAGACTATTAATTCTTCCATTTCAAAGTGTTTCTGTGATCTAACGAGGCTTAAGGCAGGACTGAGTTGTTACTTTGATCCCTGGTTGCCAATCGACAGGAATATTGGTTAGAAATTGATTTACCTCCAGGCATCATTACTCTCCGCTTACATTATTGACTGAAATATTGCCGACAATTTACACAAAAATCCCGGATCCGGTGTATTAAAGGACAGAAATCGAAGAGCCAATGATGAGAGACAAGCCAGAGCGCTGAAGAGCAGTTTTTAATGAGTTAATGAAACGTCGCCCCGCCATTAATGAGTGAAGTTTGAAGGCAATTGCCGAGAAATCGATGCCTAGCTATTAGAGGAAAATCGTTTAGTAGCGACAGAAGCGAGAGTTTCACAATAATGAGACCTTTTAAAGACGCTTCATACTAATCTATTCATTATATCTTCGTTTTCTGAGATTTTCCGCTTTATTTTACACGCAGCCGACCCATCGGAAACTGGCTACGTTTAACGGCGGTCGGTAATTGGCGTGGACTGATAGAATCCATTTAGTGTTTAAGTGTAGCAATTAGGTCCTCACGAACAGTCTCCTTATAACGACTCGTATCAATTTTGATATGAAACATTTTTATTATAATGATCGATAAAATATATTTAGTCCCGTCTCGACTCTTAAACGACTCTATTAACAGGCAATTAACTTAAAACGAGATGGTGAAAGATCGGTAGGAAGGGGTAGGGGTTTTTTAAGATGGGGTTTTGAAGGTGGGCAAGGGAGGTGATTATGCTCAGGAAATATTGAGTCTCGATTAAAAGCGATCCCTATATTTTAAGAGGCAATTTACTTGTTACGAGATGGTAAGGGGTCGGTAAAAGGGGGATGTTGTGGGGTTTTTATGTCTGGGGTCGGGCAAGGGATGAATGATTGAACTGTAAGGCGCAGAAATACTTTATTTTATATATACGGATGCAGAAGATTAGGACACAAAGCTGCATTTCAAAGTTCAAGGTAGAACAGTGGCCTCAGTGGGGTGTAAAACGCTATTTCATTTCATTTCACCTTTAAATCCAACCGAACCAATTTATCATGGTGACTCTATCAGCAGGAAAAATCATCGAAACGAAACATTATTCAATAGATTTTTAATGTGGGTTATTTTCTATCAGTGATGATGGTATCTATATTAATTAATAAAATCCTCATTAAGCAGATTCTAATTCCTCCTAATCGCTATAATCTGATCATTATCGTACATTATCAAGTTCTGCAGTAATGACCGACGTATGGATTTATCTAAATGATGTATTGCAGGGAAGTTAACAAGTGCCCGATTTCAGAGATATAACGTTTTTTAAATGGCGCGTACTTGAACAGTGAAAAACTGGGTATCAATTAAGCCTATTTTTTTTAAATGTAATTAACACGCATAGATAGGCTATTTTTGTACTCAAAAAATCAACAACCTACTTTTGCAGTAACGTTTCGACAAAACACTCTGGCATAGATATTGTTAGGAATTCAATATCTTCAAACCATGCTTAATAATCTAATTTGCATTGTAGCAACGTTTCGACATTATATTCATTAGCCTACAACAGCAACATCGACCCTGAAAATAATCTAGAATGAGAACAATGGCAATTACGGGCAAATACTATCAGGAACATCTTAATGGCGACCTGTTCAGTACCATTTATTGGCACTGTCAGGATTTATTGGCACCGACCTGATTAATTGGTCCATTCCGTTTTGACCCCTGCTGGACATGTCACATTTATTATCGACGCGGGAAAACTCATTTCGGGCAGACGACGATTTAGCGAGTTGTTACTATGAAATTAACTTTGATTTCTGACTCAACTTCGGCTAATCTATTTGGCATGAACGATCGAAATTGACAGCGCATTACTCATTACAGTTTATTTTTGAGGCAAAAATGTTTGTCAGTGATGATCCACGTTTTCAAAGTCGAAAGCATCGTATAGGACCAACAAAAATACGACCGCTCTGAAACAATCGTTTTATGTTTGTTTTGGGTTCGAACAACGAATAATTATGTTAGCCCCCTACATGTTTGTATTTCATTAACAGTGGTCTTCAGTCTTCGTCAGATCCATCTGCGCAAATTTTTTGTGGTGTTCAGAACAGGATACATTATGTTAGCTCAGTCTTAACAGAATTTTACAATAATAACACTTTCTCGTATTTTATTTCGCTTTTAATTCATCGACGCGAAAGAAAGAAGTTAAATATTTGAACAATTGGATGTCGATGATGAGAAATGTCATT